ACACAGGTACATCCGCCAAAACAAGGTTTATCCACTGGGACTGGCCGACCCATCCTCAAAACGCTTGGTCCTTTCTCCAGGAAATGAAAAACCCACACACTGGTCCAAATGGTGCTCATTCCGCCATTCCGGAGGAGCTACCTTACCGGGGTCTAAACAAATGCGTTTAGCTCGCCTCGTACTCAGAGAACAATTTACTCACCTGGAATAATATATGTACATGGATCTCCCGTTCCACAACCGAAGCCAAACAACTCTGGCATAAATACCTTCACTGCCTCAAACATTCCTATTCGCCAGTCACCTGGAGCTATGCTGATGTCATTTCACGGACAGCGTTGCGCACGTATACGTGGCTATTCCGATGGCCATCCATGGTATTTTCACTTGGCTATGGAAACAGTTACACTTACTTACATTTGCAGGAATCCCAAATCCAATTCGCGGAGAATGGCGTTTTTACCTATTAAGGACACATTCAGCCACAAGAAACAACTTCACTCACCGACCCAATGACAAGTCCAGCGTGGATAGCTGGACACGGTTTGCGAGCCCAACAAGAATATAATAGAAGAGCCGGCCTCTATTAAGAATGTGTTTACTCACCTGCATCATTATCATTCGACTCTTCGAATCTTGCAACATTGACCGGCTTCAGCGACTGCTGCCGTATCAGTACTAAGCCATTCGGCCCATCAACGAAGAATTTTGGCTGTCAACCGACTGCGAATAATAGGGTGCAAAATCGGTCTATACGATGCATAACCGACTTGCACTGCTGTTCAACGAAAGCTACGGCAGTGTTCCATGACGTGGTGGGTTTTCGCCTGGCAAGCGTTCTCCCTACAAAAAGCCACAAATGTCCGCTTAACAACACTGCAACGTGGCGGATGTGACTCCCCACAAAATAAAGTCACAGCTAAGCATTTCACACTGACGCAGTCCTCAGCCTTCTACGTCGAACCTGTGAAACTAATTCTGCTATGAAGGATGCTTTGTGGGAGCACAGATCATCCCTATCTCGTAATGGTTGTTGGTTGCAACAAAACCTTGCTTAGGCTCATGTGCTCACGGATCACTACCTGGCGAAATAACCCCCAACTTGTGTTTTGACGGATTTTTGCGCGCCACAGCGCCATAATGTCCCTGGGTCTGACTATTACCTGACAATATGCTCACCCATATGGACAACATATTTTCTTTTATACCTTTCATTAAAACGGAATACTTTAACATTCCAAAGTAGCTTTGCTTGTATGTATATTTGATCACGCCTATACAGGTGTGTCTCGTTTTACCGAGAATACACCATTTATTTATTAATTTAATTTAACAATTCGCAATATGCAAGCAATCGGGAGCCGCCCAAGTTCAAGGGAATGGCGAACTACCCGGCAAACGGGGGCGGCAATGTAATCGGCCATGGGCTTGAGGAACCTGGGATGCAACCCACCATGACCCGGCGAGGAGATCGGATCTACTGCACGAATGCATTTGGCAACGACTTCAACCCTCTTTTCTACATGATCCAACGAGGAAGGTGGCCTTGGCACCGCGTCACTGGGAAACGGCGTCTCCATCGAGTAAACAGATGAATATTGCATGGCCAGAAGACTAGCTTTCGCCGCGACCTCATCAAGTAAACCGCCATGCGCCAGGGAATACGGAGCAGGTATACCACTATCTGCTATGGTACTTCTCATCAAGTAGGAGTAGACTGCTTTGGGTTGGATTGCACAGCCAAACTGAGTCTGTACTTATGCCGTTTCTCACGTTTTTTCAAGTTGCAGATATTCCTGGCCAATTTATACTATGAATGGTCTGACTCGGATTGCGTGAGCTTGTATCTGACCCACAATTTCCGTCTTTTGTTTAGTGGGCCACACAACAATCCATGGAGGACCACTGGCAAAAGGTCTTTTGTGGACAGGAACGACCTGTTCAACGAGCGAAATCATTTTGGAGTACCTGAAGTCCCACTCATCGTCCAGATCCAGGGGTTCGGTTATACTCCAGTCCACAATACCGACGGCCGTTTGTAGGCGTTGGGGATCAACACTCCAGAAATTTCTGCGTAGGTGACCTTGGTTGTGGAGCGTAAACCTTCGAGTCCAGAAGAATGAAATAACACAATGATCGCTGTAACCGATGGGCTGAAGAACGGCTAGGCCGGTGAAGTCTGGTTGTGCCAGTGAGAGTACGAGTTCAAGAATATGGGGCGTTTGTCCTGCGACTATACTAGTAGATATTGTGACATGTTGGAATAAGTTACGTTCAATAACCGTCTCTAAAACGGCGGAGACACAAGCGCTTGAAGCGGGAACACAATGCAGTTGGTCCCAGTCGATTCTCGGGGTGATGTAGTCCCCCAGCACTAAGCAGGCTTTGCCGCATCCGAGCATTTTGATCGCGTGCAGCAGGCAACCTCCGGAACGCAATGGATCCCTGCAGACAACACGGACCATGAGAGATCTGCATCCATCATGAACAAGGCACCAGAGAGCTTCGAAATCGCCATCGCTGCCACAGATCGCTTCAACCAGATGTGCCTTGAAGTCGGTCTTTCAATAGAGTATCACACCGTCCCCAAGTCCACATCCGTGTCTGTCTTCCCTGCAAAGTTGGCCTCCAGGAATCCACACTCCCGAGTCCAAGAGATCCGGGGACAGCCAGGTTTCGGTGAAAGTTGCAACATCCGGCCGATTCATGGAGGCAAGAGGCTGAACTTCGTCTAGTTTGTTTCTGAGGTTGCGCACAGCGGAAGAAATTACGCGCAGTCTGTTCTTCAACTCCAACGCCCGAGCATGACAAGGGGTTGTATCCCGCGAGTTCTTGGCGTTTTTTGAAGTACGCGAAAACCTACTATATATAGGTCCGTCTCACCGTTATCACGACGAGATCTGAGTGAATCAACCACTTTCTTATTTTTACTCCATCCTCCGGAGAGAGGTCTAGTAGCACGAGAAATGGTTCTATTGTAAGATGTGGAGCTCCTTGGAGAACGCCATGGACTTCCTCATAGTTTTGACATACAATCTTTAATGGCCGGGCCTTAGAGGATCCCTCAGGTTTCTTGCTAAAGTGGAAGGCGTGGACGATGTTGCTACCTGGCCCACCTGAGTCGAGCAGTTAGGAGACCGTCCGTTTTAGAAACTGTTGTGCATCCATAATTCTTTCAGCTGGAGTGGTTTTGGATGACTCAGGAGCATTTATGATGATGAGACAACTGCTACTAGAGGGGGATTTGTTGTTATCGGGGTGCTGCGGCTTGTGGGGAGTGGACGCTCCGTAAGCAGCTTTTCCAGCTGACCGACTCTATCCAGAACAAGCTTCAACTGCGACTGTGAGGACAACGGTTTGCGTTTCACCTTGACGTCTATCTTGCCCTTACTTTCAACCAGTCGTGCTGGCGAGGGTAGTGGCGCACATTCCTTCGCCACGGCGGTATAAATCTTGGTATGTGGGGTTTTACCGTGGTCAACAGCCGCCGGCTTACCAGGGGGTAACCAGATCAGCAGCTAGTGACGAAAAGCATGAGGCTGCCAAGGAGTCAGTACCGCCGCTTGCCTCGGTTTGAACAGAAAAGACACGCGGTTCCAGTGCAGTCAGTCCATCAAGCGGTGCAGTGTCGGTACCTGCTACCTATGCTGGAGTCCGACAGGTCAGGATATGCTTTGCGTTGGGGGCGGCGGAGGCTCCTTCTGCTTTTGAACAGAAGGCAGACATGAGAGACTTGGACTGGTTTGAGGTAGCTGATTCGAAACGCGACTAACGCTCAGTCCAGCGCGACATGTGCCACGAATGAAGACGATGACGGAGGAAGTGGTCTTCTGCAGTGGGTCGTACAGCTCTGGACCGATTTTACGACATGCAATCTGTAGCCAAGCTTCGCAGAAGGAACCTTGGACAGCCTTTGACCGAGATATGCCAGCCTTACAACAATCCAAGCATTTGAAAGACATTGTATATTTTATAAAATAACTTCAGAAAAGCTTCAAGACAGTCACGAAACACAAAGGAGCTCCCTATCCGCCTTTCAGGAAGCGAAACCATGTACCAATATCTTTTATTGCCAATACCGTAATATCACCAGGCTTAAGGATATACTATGCAGCCACACAAACTATTTTGTATGTCTTCGAGGACAATAAACGCGAAACCCTTTCCCGCCAGTACAGAAATTAGCCCTTCCACAGAGCAATCTCGCGTTGCAAGCGAAACGGGCGCCAAGCAAAAGTGGGGATTGGCAAGCCAAGCATAGGAAGTTAAAAATCAGTTTAAGAAACCACATCGGTCGCCTAGGTATACAATTAAATAATTTTAGGTGGAATTTTACAAAGCTAAACCAGGGAATCTCCAGACTGCTACAGATTGAATGTTAATAGGGCAACAGACTGTACAAAAAACATATGTTACTATTCTCATCTAATAAGCAAATAACGGTTTATGCTTGATGAGCTGGTCGCCAAAGTGGCACGAAACTAGGAACTTCAAATGTGGGCTGAACACTGACAATACACAGGTGCGTTTTAGGGAGCAGCCTGAACCGGGAGCCCCGAGCGATTCGAAAAAAACAGATCGGGTTGCAATGAAACTTTTATTGGTACAGTAAAAAGATTCCCTGTTATCTAGCTATAAAGGAACGACACCGTTGACACACTCGCTAGGGGAACGGAGCATGCGCAGCACACAAGGCAGACGCGAGTTGCAACCGAAACGAGCGCCAAGAAAAAATAGCGATGAGCAAGTCAAGCATCCGAACTCAGCAATCAGTTCAACAAACCACACCGGTTGCCTAGGTGTACAATGAAATAATTTAGAATTTTACACAGGCAAACCGGGGAATCTCTAGACCGCTACAGCGTCACACTTTTGAACGCTTTAAACAAAGGAACAGACGACTACTTGTTCGTCGGGAAAGACATATCTATAGCTAAACTGTGAGTGTGATTTGCCATATGATACATGAAAACTGATAATAGCGCCAGATATAACCAGGTATGATGGGGGCGCCGGTTCCAATGCTGGCGCTACGGTCTAGCATGACTTATTTCGGAGGGCTGTTGAGGCTGTCTCGCTTAGGTATGTTGGCTCTTTCGTTATTATGCCGGGTAGCTTGTAGAGATATACAGCTTTATCGTTTTATTCATTCTTCTTATGCAAGCAAAAAGGATTATTATAAGATCCTCGGGGTCGATCGTTCTGCCTCCCAGGCGGAAATTAAGAAGGCCTATTATCAGGTAGAGATTTTACTTAACGCACTCCAATTTAGTCTTAGTTGGCGAAAAAGTACCACCCTGATGTAAACAAAGATGACAAAACCGCTGCTCAGAAGTTTCAGGAAGTTAGTGAAGCGTACGAGGTTCGTATGGTTTGTTACCTTAAGAGACGCGTTCAGATTTTAGGTGACGAAAATAAGCGCAAACAGTACAACTCCTTCGGAGCAGCTGGACCCTCTGCATCTTCCGGGTTCCGAGGCCAGCAGCAAGAGGGTTTTGAGTTTCACTCTCAGATTGACCCCGAAGAGTTATTCCGGCGGATATTCCGCGACAGTGAATTTGCGTTTAAAGAATGGACTTCAGGAGACCGTGGTTTTGCAGAGACTATTTTTGGATTTAACCCAACGAAAGAAGTTTCCGTCAACCTCACATTCGAACAGGTAAGCTTGATTTAGAGACGGTGATATTTCTATCCCTATTTTCCTTAGCATAATCGATGTATTTTAGGGGAGCTGGGTATTGAAATCGTTGCCACTCTATAGTTAGCTCACTATTACCTTCACTGTGCCACCGTTTTTCGTATGATACATTCACAGCCGGACACTGGATACATCAACAAACATTTATTAACTGGCTACTTGTCGCGCACTGTAACTTCCTCGCCACTCCATATGACGATTCATTGTGGCTACCTACCTACCACCTTGCTTTACTTTACTTTACTGTCATGATAGCGAGAAAGATGTTGAACATCTATGTAGCTATATCTCACTGTAGGACATGTCCCACTGACACAGTGTTACATGTAGTAGTGAGCTAGCCCAGGTGAAAAAGTAAAATATTTACAAGCATAGAAAAAATCTCCATGTACTTACGATATATTCTTGGATGAACCACATGGAGTCCTTCACCAGCTCCGCCGCCTATTACGGATGGGCATCGTTTCGGAAGCTGCAGTTGGTGGATTAACGGGCTCCATGGGTTATAATCATTGAACGATTCCTTCGTCAGTTTCCTGTGAAGGCTTCGTCGAATCTGGCATCCGCAAAGTGCGCGTCCAGGAATCGTTTGAATTCCGACACCGAGTTCGCTTCTACTATCCGCGAGGGCAAACGGTTCCACATGTTCACCACTCGCCGCTCAAGACACAAGGGATGAGCTACCCACTTGAGGTCAGGGACTACCAGTTTGTACTGGTGACCTCGTGTGCTGCTTGACGCACGGACATGGAGCAGTGGCCTCAGCATCGGATAAGCACCCAGATGCAATACCCGATGGGTCATGATGAGGTCCACTCGCACGCGGCGGTAGGCTATAGCATACAAACCCAATTGTCTGCATCTTTCTTCATACGGCACACCCTAAAGACCGGGAATGAGCCGTGTGGCTATGTGTTGCACTCTTTCGAGCTTGTGTATCTCGCCTTTCGTCTGCTTTGTAATAGGAGATCGCGCGTTCAAGCTTACGTAGGGTACCGGGCGTACATCGCAGTATCCTTAGCCCATGTCCGACTGGTGGTGGTTGCGCGGCAGCATCATTAACTACAACAGCAGTACATCAGCCGTTTGAACTGATGCTTCGCTACCATACAACCATGATGACCTATGGAATAAGGAGTATTAAAAGGGAGGGAAGGGGGACTTAACTGATAAACTTAATACCTTAGGCAATCATTCAGGGTCAACTCGCCTACACCTTGTGTCGACAACACCGTCACAAACGGCTGGATATCGTGCAAAGGTAAGGCTTTCACTGCCCCTCGTCATTATGTACCATTATCCCGCAGGTAACAGCACCAAACAAAATATAAACCGACCATCCGACTGAGAGACGGCAGCGGACGCGCCGCGGTTACTGACTGCGATCCATGTCCTATTAAGTCCCGTGCCTAGCACAAGGCAAGTCACGTGGTCTCCAGCCTAAAAGGCGACCAAGTTTGGTCGTCAGTGTCTCCATTTCCCGCTGCCAAGTCAACTTCTGTCCACCATGAGCCTTGCGCCTACACCTGGCAGACTAAACAATGCCCTCCTAGGTAAGTAGGGACCAGGAATACGTAGCACGTGCCCAAGTCAGCGCAACTTATTTAAAGCTATCTGTTGTTCTAAGGAGCTAGCATGATTATCACTACCTAGGACTCGCCTATGCACATCATCGTTGCGCACATGCTGGTGCTATCCAAGTTCAAGTGGGACTGGGACAGTAGGATACCTTCCCATGGATGTTCCTTACTTGGCTCGTCTTTGATCCGGGGTATTATTCGTCCGCGATAAGGAATCTAGAAGAGTCAGATGAGCACACTTGAATCACACCGCGGTCAACCAGTAACTACCCACACGACCTGCATTGACAGTCCCCGCCCCACCGGTGAAGTGAAATAAAAAACAAAACACGGAAGTACTTAGTGTCAAGAACCAACAAGTAATAGATTTAATAATTCAGTAGGGCGAATAAGCTAAGATGTGAAGGGGAAAGTTAAGAACTGAAGGCCAAGGGCGTCAAGTCGGTGTTCGAACTCTTTCACCGTTGGTGCCGATACCATATTCCCCAGCAGGAATCCATTACTTTAGGTGCTAAAAGGGAGTCCGCCCGGACTCCATCCGATCGAGGTTTGTGTAGCTTCATCGAGTGACCTCGGAGAGATGGAAGCCGAGCCGGTTGGAAAAGCCCAGATAAATCGGGTCCGATTTTACCGGTAAGTATGCGATAGGTCAAGATCAGGTCGCCTCGATGGCGACGATAATGCATTGAGAACATTCCCAGCTCAAGTAGTCTTTCTGGGTAAGAAAGGTTCCGTAGTCCATGAACCATTTTGGTTCCAACTCTCAACACTCCACTGACATCCTGTCCCTGACTAAGCAAGGTGGACAAGCCTGGATGCAGTATTCCAAGTGTGGCCTGACAAAGGCTGAGAATAACCTAACAAACATATCGCCCGTGATGGTCCCGAATGCCCTGCGGATCATCCACAACATTCTGAAACCCTTGCACGTAGCTTTCCTCCAGTTCTCACTGGATTTAAGTTCTGAAGACAACGTGACCCCTAGGTCTACCAGTTGGGAAACATGCTGTAGTTCATTCCCGCCAAGCAGGTAACGCGTTTGGGGGCCATTTGACCCTAGTGGTTAAGTTGGGCATTTTGCATAATTTATGGGAAACTGCCACAGAGCAACCCAGTGCCAAATTTTATCGAAGATCCGTTGCAGAGTCTGGGGTCCATGGAGGTCAGACATTGTATGCCAAAACTTTAGGTCATCTGCAAACATGAGAGATGTTACCCCCAGCACTTGGAGCGGCTCATTGGCATACAGGGAAAATAACAGTGGGCCAAGCACCGAACCCTGTGGGACCCCACTGAGGACTGACTGACAGAAAGACAGGCTAGGACCCACACGAACACACATCTCTCTTCGTTACAGATACGTGGTGATCCATTTTAGTGCACGCTCTGATATTCCATAGGACCGAAGCTTCAAAGAGAGGCACGAATGTGGTACAGTGTCTAACAACTTGGAGAAGTTAATATACAGTACATTTACTGCATGAACCCGATCCAAATCATGCACCCAACATTCGCGTGCAACTAGCAGATTAGACATGCAGGAGTGACCACTGTGAAAGCTGTGTAGAAGTGGACTGAGCAGGCCAAACTCCAGCAGGTGGTTTTCAAACACATCCCTGACCAACTGCTTCAATAACTTGAGCAATGCACTTGTCACAAGTACCGGTCGATAATTGGCAGGAAAATGCTTGTCGCCCTTTTGCATATCGGGCAGATGATAGCATCCTTCCAATCCTTGGGAAAGGAGCAGTTGTGAACCGATAACTGAAACAAACGTGTCACTGAACCAGCTAGCTCACTTGCGATTTCCTACAAACATTTTGGGTGAATATTATCCATCCCAGCAGATTTAGCATGATTTAACCCCTGCAGAACATGGGGAACTTGTGCCTCCGAAATTGAGACGTTAGGTTAACAGGAGTCCTGTAGGATTCTCATCGCTGAGTCCACATGTGGCAACTGCTCATCCAGAAAGAAAGTCCCTGCATACTGTGCACTGAGTAGACAGACTTTTCATGATCATTGTTGGCAGTGGCGCCGTCGCTTCCTAACAACACTGGGATAGATGAGCCAATGTTCCTACGCCATGTAGGCAAAGAATCGTTTGGGGTTTGCGGAGGCTGAGTTAGCCAGCTCCATCTCATAGCTAAGTCAAGCCGCTCGTAAATGACTATTGCACGCAGTTCGCACTTTATGATAAGGCCTAAAATTACTTTACGGGAGAACTTTCCGGTAGATCTGCCAGCATCTCGCTCGTCTATTCATAAGCTGGGGTGTGACTGAGCCCAACCATGATGGCTTTACGTTGTCAAACTGCTTAACCGAAAAAGAGATGTGAGGTGGGATATATTAGAGAGCAAAGACTTAAACGTATCCTAAGCCGTCTGTATATCGTTATCCGGCAAGATTCTGCATGAGGAACTGACTACCTTGGCTTTAATCCACTTAAAGTCGGCCTGCAAAATGCTCGAAGTTCGAACCCAGCGTGAATCGCAGTCTCTAATGAGAGCACAATTGAAGGACAAACACACATGATTATTGGCTTCCAAAGGGTGAACCTACTCAAGGTCTCTCATAAAGTCAACCGAATTTCCGAAAATTAGGTCCAAGGGAGAAGGTGCATGACCATTCATGTACCTGGGGGGCCGATCGATAAATTGGTGTAAGGGTACTTCAGTGTCAAGTCGACAAGCTTGGCAGCCAACCGTTTTGTCGCTGCCTCATAAGATAGGCGATGGTAATTTACTTCAGGGACGTTGAAGTTCCCAGTTATCAAGCATCTGTTCGCAGAGTGAGTGCGGATGAAGTTAGTAGAACTCCTAGAAGCGCTATCAGAGTTCCTATACAGCAGCACACCTTTAAATTGCGTTGACTCAGTACAGACTTCAACTGCAAGAGCTTCAACTGCTCTATCAGTTAAGTTAACAGTATGTTTTTGATACGTTTACACCACATCTGATGTACAGGGCGACTCCAACTCCGGGGCGATTATAGGGGCGGTCAGCTCTCAGTATTGCGTAGCTCGGAACATATACTTCACTGTCCATGACGTCAGAAGACAAGCATGTTTCAGTGAACGCGAGTACATCAGGATGGGATTTGTCTATTAGGGCCCCAACTTCACACATCTTGTTTCGCAGGCTACCCACCGTACTGAGAACTATGTGAATACGTCTGGTATGGACATCCCCGGTCGTGTGCTACCAGAATGGGCTCTGGGAGGGCGGAAGTGGACCGTCGGCTCACCACCCGAAAACCCAACAAACCTAAACCGTTCTCGCCAGATTCTCGACACGTGTTATGATTTTTGATGGTTTCCTTAAGATTTCTCTTATCCGCCAAAGGTAGTTTCGGTTGTATATTCACTCCGGAAACCTTTAG